GCACAAGCCAAAGACACCACACTATTCTGACTTGTGCAACTGCTATCACAGTTTTTTGTTTGTTTGTTTTTCGAGACAGGGTTTCTCTGTAAGGCAAGGTATAGAGTTCTCCTGTTCCTGCAACCAAAGAGACAGTAAGTAGCTGCCACTATTGTTCTGTTACTGGCAAGATAGTACTTTGCCTGGCACAAGCCAAAGACACCACACTATTCTGACTTGTGCAACTGCTATCACGGTTTTTTTTGTTTGTTTGTTTTTCGAGACAGGGTTTCTCTGTAAGGCGTGCACCACCAACGCCCGGCTTCTGCTATCACGTTTGGGATGGTAAAGGATCCAGTTTTTAAAAAGCCTAACTTCCTAAATGTCAACAATTGACCTTAGTACATGGAGTCACACCCTAGACTAGGCAGGTTTTCTTCTAGAAGGAAGAACCTATTGGGTCTGAGGCTGTGGAGCTGTTAAAGATACACAAATAACCTTTTTATTGTTTTTTGTTGATAAGAGTTTGAAACAGAGTTCCAATATTCTTGCCTCAGCCCAAGGATTAGATTTATAAGTGTGTCAACATGGCCAGCATGAAAGTGAGGCAGCTGATCGTAATGTATATATCAAAAGATGCTATAGTAGGGTAGTTTTGTTAAAAACATAGCTCAGCACATGAGAAGCCCTAGATCCAGTCCCCAGCACACACAAAGTGCAGTGGCATGCAGCTAAGTCCCAGCTAGCCTGCATAATAAAGTGAGACTCCCTAAAATTACAAAGGATGGGCAAGGCAAAGTTTTATTTTTTGCAGCCCCCAGCTAAAGAATGGGATGGAGTACTGATCCACCCTAATTAGTCCCACTTACGTGTCACCACAGCTGTGTGTCGGGATCCGCAGCTGGCCTTGACTGCATCTGAGCCTGTGGGAAGATCCAGTAGAGCTGGGAAGGGCTGGATGGCTATGAAGAGGGCAGGAGCTCCAACATCAGCCATGGCTGCTTCCTCTCCTTTGAGGGAATCTTCATTCAATTCTGTGGCTTTAGAATGGTTATAATATTTAACATTCTGGGGCATGGAGATGAACCTCATCCATACACTATCTTCCTGTAGTTGCTCTTAGAAGTTTTACACTTTCTAGTTCCAGAGCTGATGCCCAACCCTTACTCAACAGACCTGCCAGCTGTGCAGTGCCAAAACTGGCATGAGCCTCCCTCAGCAAGGAACAGTGTTTGTCCAACAGTTACCAAGATAAGTCACAGCCCTGAGCACCTGCAGCTCAGTGTCCAGCACACACGGTAAAGAATCCTAGAGACTGCCTTACCTTCCCTTCTCACTGCCATCTTGTCCTCTGCAGAGCTCTTTATGGGCAGAGCCAGCTGCCCTGACTCATTCCAGCCCCAGATATAAATATCCCCAGTTTCTGAAAGAGATCAAGAGGATCCATGAAACAGACTGTGAAACCTTCCTATCCACCTACATCCTCTAACATCCCCACCTCCAATTCCTAGGGGCGAATAAGGGCTACCATGTCCAAGTACCCCTCCAAGCAAAGATGCCTCCCTACCAAGTCCCAGCAGCTTCCTTGCCTTAGACTCTCTGCCCATATACCACCTTCAGTCACACACCCCTTTTTTTCTTTTTCAAGTAGCCTCACTATGTACCTCTCTGGCTGACCTCAAAGTCTCCACCCTCTTCCTGGAAGCTTTGTCATAGAATAGTCCTTTTGTACACTGTGAAGATGTGTTGCTCTCATTGGTTTAATAAAGAGCTAAATGGCCAATAGCTAGGAAGGAAGAGGTTAGGTGGGAATTAAGGTCAGGCAGCGAGCGCAGGGATGAAGAGGGGAGGAGTCACTAGGAGAGGCAGAGAGAAGCAAGATCACTATGTTGTGTTCAAAAAAGGTACAGAGGGACTGGAGAGATGACTCAGAGATTAAGAGCACTGGCTGCTCTCCCAGAGGTCCTGAGTTCAATTCCCAGCAACCACATGGTGGCTCATAACCATCTATAATGAGATCTGGTACCCTCTCCTGGTGTGCAGGCAGAACATTGTATACATAATAAATCTTTTTTTTTTTTTTTTTTAAAAAGGCTAGTTTGGAGGCTAGTTCCAGGACAGGCTAGTTAGTAACAAGCCTGAGTTGTCAGCTGGGCATTTCTAATTAGTAAGTTTCTGTGTGTTATTTGGGAGTTGGCTGGTGGGACAGGAAATCCCACCTACACAGCTTTTCTTTCCACTTCCCCTTCCTTCAGAGATGGGTCTCACTGTTGCCTACGTTGGTGTCTAACTCCAGGCTTAAGTTCTTTTGTCTCAATCTCACCAGTAGCTGGGACTATGAGTGAACACTCAGTTTAGTCATCCTTTATCCGTTGCTAGGCCAACTCCATTTTCAATCTTTTTTTTTTTTTCCCCTGAGACAGGGTCTCAATGTGTAGCTATAGCTGTACTGGAACTCACTGTGTAGACCAGGCTGGCCTCGAACTCACACCTCTGCTTCCCAAGGGTTGGGATTAAGGTGTGCACCACCACTGCCTGGCTTGCCTGTGCCCTTTTCCAACCCATCTTCCACTGGCCCCACTAAAGTCCTTCTGCCTCTCCTTTGCTCTCCTTCTCATAGTACCACTGCTCCATATGAGGTAGAGGATTGGTGTGACATCCCTATCCTAGTTACTTTCTATTGCTGTGATCAAAACAAAACAAAACTGACCAAAAGCAACCCAGGAAGTTTATTGGGTCCATCATTAAGGGAAGCCAGGGCTGGAACCTGGAGGCAGGAACTGAAGAGGCCACGAAGGAGTGATGCTATGGCTTGTTCCCCCTGCTTTCTTATAGTTCCCAGGATCACCTGCTCAGGGATGATGCAGTCCCTGGTGGGCTGGGACCTCCCATATCAATCATCAATCAAGAAAATGCCCCCTCAGGCTTACCTATAGGCCAATCTGATGGCGCAATCTCAATTGAGGTTTCTCTTTGAGGTTGACTCTAGCTTGTGTCAAGTTGATAACAAACTAATCAGGACACATAATGTCTAAGATTCACTAACACTACAAGGGAGGCAGAGGCAGGAATATAGAGTTTTCAAGGTCAGTCAGTTTGAGGCCAGACTGGTCTTAAATGAGACCTTGAATGCAACATTCTCTAATAGTAATTGTATAAAACGCTCAGTCTGGGCTGTATTTTATGTACCTTCCAAATACAATCACAGAGCCCTAGAAGTATTTATATTACAATATCCTCACTTTGAAGTCAAGTGAAACAGAGATTAAATGCCAGGACAAAGATCAAAGGAGCCAGAATAAAGACTGTAAACTAGGAAGCCTTGTTTGATACCTCTGTGCTTCAACTTCTTTTGCAAGCACAAAGTCTCAAACTCCTAAACCTTAGGTGTGAAATTTCCCTTTAGGCTCTTTCTAGCCCTCTGTCCTCTTCCTTCCTGCCCAAGTTGGACTAGTATGCCTCCTAGGCCTATTACATGAGAACATGGGGGATTGAGAGCCCCATTCAGAAAGATCAGTAGTTTCTGGTGCTGGAGAGATGGCTCAGTGGTTAAAAGCACTGGTTGTTCTTCCAGAGAACCTGGATTCAGTTCTCAGCTCGCATATGGCAGCACATAGCTGCCTGTAACTCCAGTTCCAGGGGACCCAGTGCCTTCTTCTGGCCTCTCCGGACACCTGCACAGATACTCCACCCATCTTTTTAAAAATCAGTTTATCTGTTCCCTCTCCTCTCCATGAGCCTAGGAAACAGCAGCACCCCTGTAGGGGACCAACATAGCTTCATACCATCATGGCTACCTGGGCAGCCTTCTTTCTCCATTCTTTCTGGCTGAGCTGTCTCTTAGCAGATCCCTGGATAAGTGAGCTTGGTGCCTAGCAGGGAAATGGCAGTGGTGGAGAGCCCAGTAACAAAGATAACAACAGCAGTCAAGGAGTAACAGAATGGTGGAGACAACATGCCTAGCAGGGAAATGGCAGTGGTGGAGAGCCCAGTAACAAAGATAACAGCAGTCAAGGAGTAACAGAATGGTGGAGACAACGGACTAAATCTTCAGACCCTGAAGAGTCAGGAATGACTGGACTAGATCACCGACAAAAACAAACCAACAAAACAAAAGCAGAACAAGAGGAAGGCACGGCCAAGATTACCAGCTTGTTTGGAGAGGCTCCAGGTCACTCACCACTCACACACACAGAGTGCCAGCCACCTGCAGCCACCTCAGCCATCCGCAGGCCTTGCAGTGCTTCCAACAGCCTTGGCTCCAGCTCTGCCTCCAGCGTCCCGTGGCCCAACTGTCCATGCCTGATCAAGGGAGTTCTTAATCAGCTTCTGGCGCATTCAAGAGACCACCTCCTTGAGCTTCACCCAGTCACACCCAGCTGGTCCTCACCTGCCTCCACCCCAGGAGAACACCTGGCCAGCTTCGCAAAGCAGCAACACATGCTCTGCACCCAGCTCCAGCTGGCGCACCCGAAGCTCTGGGGCCAGAGGCTGGCAGAAGGGTGGCTGCGGGGTCACATAGGCACTGGCACAGGGCAGCAGCGGCAGGGTGCCCGCCCTAGCCTCACTGCTGGGTTCATTTTCTCCTTGGTCCTCTGTCCCAGTAACCAGGTTCTGGACCCAGAGGGGCTCCCCCTGAGCGTGTGGTGCAGCAAGGTTGCCAGACAACGGGCATAGGGTATTCCTGAGCAGGCATGTTACCCCCAGGTGTACAGGGGTCAGGCCCGGAGTTGGTTTTGTCAGGGTGTTATGATAAAGCACGTGGGAAACTTGCGTGGATTCCATGGCAGGCGAGGGACAAACATGAGGGTGTGTGTGTGGGGGGGGGGAAGACAGAAAAGAAGAGGGAGACAGAAAAAGCCCTGTCTGCCCAGAGAGCATAAGTGGGTGGAGGTCTTTCTTTTAAAGGGGTCCTTTGCATCTGGACTGACTAGGACTGCCTGAGTGCAATCTGCCAGGTGACATGGGCGGGCCAACATAATGCCTGAATCCTTCCTTACACAGGGTACTCACAGGTTACCAGGGCGGTGTAGCTCCAGCTTGCACTCACTCGGCAAATGTCATCACTGGCACACAGTGGTTCAGGACTGTGCACCGAATGGCACCCATTCCCAGAGCCCAGCACTTGCCCAAAGCCACAGAAACCGAAACCAAACCAGGTTCCATGCTGTTTCTTGGCCATATTCACGCTGAGCCCTCTGTGGGTGGCCACGTGGATGGGGTGCCAGCAACTGGATAGATGGCCTCAACCACGCCTCAACCTAAGAAGATGTTTGCAGCCAGGACACCTCAGGAACACAGACGAGTTTGGCCTCCCAAGAGGCTGCCACTGCATTATCTGTAAAACAGTGACCGAATCCCTTCTGGATTCCATCCCTCTAACGAGGCAATCGGTGTCCATCCCACTATTGTTCCCAGAGCAGAGCTTTGGTCAAAGGTCCTATCAAATGTGTGACTGTTAAATTGTCTGGAGCTACTCATGTCTCCCACTTTTGGCTCAAATCCAGTGTGCCACTGTAAGAAATATTAAGTATTCAGGTTTTTTGTTTTGTTTTGTTTTTTGTTTTTCTATCAAACACTATAGTGAGTTTCGGGACAGCCAGAGCTGTTACACAGAAAAACCCTGTCTCGGAAGAAAAAAAAGTAGTGGAGGGTGGGAGCAGCGCTGTTTGCGACAATAGCAAACCAAAATGTAAGTGACAACACACTCTTAGCTTATTAAATACGACGGTATTTAATGACGAAAATGACCATTGGCTCTTAGCGGGTTTCTCGGCATCTGGACAGTTTGTTTGCACTGACCGTTACCGGTTGTTTATTCTTTCAACAAAGAATAAACAAAAAAAAAAGCCTTTATCGCGTCTTTCTTTTGCGTTAATGAGATGGCTGGGGGCCCCAGGGAACTCCTGCTGAATTGGGGAGGCAGATAGTGGCATGGTTTCAACAGCAACGCCACTTTATTCGGCTGGGCCAAACTCTACAGCCACTTTCACGCCTCTTATGTCGAGCTCTGAGACCACAGCTCTTGGATTCCCCAACCAAGAGAACCTTTGCCCTTTCCCTTGCCCCTCTCTCTACAACCCAACAGGAAAGCCCTTTCCGCGGGAAATCGCGAAGGAACCCGCCCAGCACCTTGTAGTGCTCGGTTCCGGGAAGGACCGGTTGGGCAGAACGTGTTTAAAGGGCCGCGTGCCAGGCAAGGCTGCCATTGGATGCAGCAGCCTTTTCGGAGCCAATCGCAGGCGCGAGTGGTGACGTCACCGCGTATGGGGGCGGGCGCCGTGACGCGCTCACAGGCGCCGAATTACCTGCCTGCCGGCCTGAGGCCTCGGCAGAGTCAATGCGGGCCGCTCCCGGGCGTGGGCCGAAGCCTCCAGTGACCAGCGGACGCGGCTGGAACCACTGAAGGAATATTCACGAAGTTCCGAGGGGAACGGCAGGCGAGGACCAAGCACTGACACCCGCCATTCCCTGCGAGCAAGGAAGAGAGGCGGCTCACTAGAGAGCAAGCACAGGAGTGCAGCCCAGACAGGAGGCGGTAGTATTAGTGCCTTCACTGATTGGTCCAGGCTCTGTCGCTTACCTCCTGAGCCAATGAGCTCCAAGCTTGAACTCCAGCCTCTAAGAGACTGGTGTCGCCAGCTAGAAGGTGAACCTATTTGAACCACTTGAGTCATGCATGCTTCTTCTTCAACCAGGCATATAGCTACAGAAAAATTGGCTTTTCCCTGAGGGAAGCGCACACCAACCCCAAATGCCAAACATTGCCTGACTGGAGATCACGGAAAGCTCAGTATCACAACAAATATATCCAGGGACAAGCATATAGTACTCTCCCCTAAAACTGTTTATCTCAGGGACACTGGAATTTGGTGTGTCCCTTCTACCAGGACTAAGAAAGAACTCCAGCCGGGTATGGTGACACTACATAATTCCTACTACTCTAAAGGCGGAGACAGAAGGATTGTCAGTGTGAAGCCAGTTTGTGCTCCCCATATTGAGGCCCAGTCTCAACTATAAGGCTACTCAGTGGACCCTGGGGAGGAAAACCACTGGCTTCCTTCTTGCAGGACAGCACTCTGCAGCACTCTTGCTGACACCCAGCTACTGCTCCAGAGCCTCTCACCCTCAGCACCCCTCCTACACAACAAACACAATTCAGTCCCACACGATTTATTGAAGGGATGAACCTGCTGGCAGGCTCTCGTGGTGCTCACAGCTTGTGAGGGTGCTGCTGTGCCCTTCTTGATGCCCACAATCCACAGGCTTGAGTTGTGATGCACTCTGACCATCCCCAGCTCACTACAGACATAGGGGCCCTCCTGAGTGCTGGCAGAGCAGGGCTGTGCAGTGTGTGATCTCTCAGAACAGAGAACACCAAAGTGCAGCCGTGGAAGAGAGGCAAGTGTCCAGCATCCCAGGCCCGTTGGCCAAAGCTGCTTCTGTGCTGGCTCTCAGTGCTGCGGCAGGTGGCGGATGCATGAGCTGTGGGCCCAGGGCCAATGCTCACTCCCCATTCTGGTTGGGTTGGATGAGGCCGTATTCCACTGCCTTCCCCAGGCAGGCTGCAGCGGCCCTGGTGACTGGGCTCTCTTCACCCTTGGCCAACACTGACAGAATCTCCAGCACCTCACTCTCCATCAGGGTGCTGGCAATCTCCTTTGAGGCCTCCACCATGTTCAACACCACCACACTGCCTCGGTGTTGGAGCTCTTGGTTGGGGCTTAGAAGCAGGGCCTGCAAGATCTCCAGCCAGTGTGTGGTCTGTAGGAAATGGCAGGTGTGAAGACTAAGCAACAGGCTCAACCCTGGTAGAAAACACATCTATACCCCAGGACCTCCTCCACAGAACAGCAATACCACCATGCAGGGAGTTGCTAGTTCCTTCATCCTCCCCTACTAAGAACAGGCACTAACCACTTGTGGGATGCGGCTGCAGAGTGAGGGCCGCATGGAGGTGAGCATAGCCAGGCCACCAGCAGCAGCCCTCCGCAGTAGCTCATCGTCCTCTCCACTGTATAGCACCAGCAGCTTCAACCGGTCGTTGCCCTGGGCTTCAAAGAGATCCTGCACCTGTCACCAGATGGAGGAAAGGACCATGCCACCGGGGCACAAAGCCCAATAAAAGGACAAGGCCATTCGCATCCCAGTCATGGGGACCACGTGGACCAACCCTCACCTCTTTGCTCATGGCCAAGTTACACATGCACTCTGTGGCTGCCCGGCGGATCATTTCATGCTCCTCGAACATGTAGCCCTCAATCATGGGCACAGCCTTCTCCTTCAGGATCTTCTGTCTGCAGGACAGAGTTGGAGGGTCTACATGAACAGAGCCCCATATCCACAGCCTGCCACCCTATCCCCATGTAGCTGAGCCCTGAGCTGAGGTGTTCCCCTAGCAATGTCCAAGCACCTTCCCGTCCCAGTTATGAGGTGCAGTGCTCTCTAGCCTTCTGGCCTGGCTGGAAACAGCATAGGGGTGTTAGACATGCAGGAAATTGATGGGCGTTGGTTAATCCCAGCACGGGAGGCAGAGGTAGGCAGATCTCTGTGAGTTAGAGACCAGCCTGGTCTACAAAGAGCTAGTTCCAGGACAGCCTCCAAAGCCACAGAGAAACCCTGTCTCAGAAGAAAAAAAACAAAAAACAAACAAACAAACAAAAAACACAGGCTGGAAATCAGCAGAGCAGGGTAGTGGTGATGATGGCTATGCAGACATTAATCATTTGAGCACTGAACCTGACCAAGCTGCTTGAATTATTTCACCTAATACTCATTGTAACCCCATGATGTTTGAATTATCTTACTTGATGCTCACCTCACTCCATGGTGAAAGTGTAAGTGTGGTTACCATAACTATTCCACCAAAGGGGAAACTGGGCTGGGTGGTGAGTAATGTGTTCCAGGTCACAATTAGTAACAACAGCTAATACTGTTGACTGTGATTACTGCTCGGGCAGATACCTATGAACTAAGGGCTTTTGGGAGGGGAGCTTTTGAGATAGTTTATAGCCTGGCCTGGCCTTGAACTCACAGCAGTCTTCCTACCTTGGCATGAGCCACCATTCCCACTTGTGCTTGCTAATGCCTTTTATATGCATTTTCTCATGAACTCCACACTACTACTACATGAGTTGGATGCTTAACTAACTCAGAGAGAAGAAACTGAGACAGAATGACTTAAAGACTTGCTAGGGTCATACAGTGAGCCAGTGAGTGTCTGCAGCCTGGGGGGAGGAGGAGGAAGTGGAGGGCACAGTCAGGGCCCTAAAGCCTAGCTATTTAGGCTTCTATATCTGCTGGGTCTAGGGAGCCACATTTGAACCCAGGGAAATGTGACTTCAGAGCCTGTAGTGCTCTCATGCTGTGCCTCCTTGGTACCACCATTGGCATGACTCTTCATCTGTATGTTACAGATGAGTTATTGTGGGGCGCAAACAGTGACCAGGAACTATTTTCCAAACTGTAGAGTGCACAACTGGGGCTCACCCAAATCCCTATGCCAAGCTCCCATGGGATCTTACCTGAGCCTCTCACTGATCCCTGCCAGGTTCGTTAGGGCCATGAGAGCCTCAAAGTTCTGTAGTCCTGAGCAGTTGAGGTGCAACAGAGAGACAAGGGGCCGGACCACTTCGTAGATCTGTGATACACCCCACCTATCAGAGCGCTCACCAAAGTGGCCCCCACCCCACAGACCCACAGCAGGGAGCCCACCTGAGACAGTGGTGCTCTCTATGGCTGTCCCCTACCCCAGGACTCAGCAAAACTGTCACTTTCCCATTAATCATGAGGAGAAGCCC